TCACTATTGCAACATCAGAACCCAAAGAAGAGCCTGGCAGATAGACACTTAAGTATTGAGTGAGCTAATGAATATATATATGACGTTTTGAAGAGGAATATTCTAGTTTCTTTCTACAGGGTTATCTTGCCAGATAACAATAATCAAAACTCAATAATTTTTTAAGTATCTGGGACTTAATTGGCCAGTAAATATTCTTAAAACTCTGTAATATAAAAATGAGCCTGTAAAATGAGAGAGAGAAGGATTGTGCCTTTATGGCATTAAAAAAAAAAAACCAAACACCCCTTTAATGGGCAAGAAACAATTTTCTTATCTTTCAGTACCCTAATGTTTTGATTGTTGTAAATCTTGGGCATTCTATTTTGTAAGTTTGACAATGACCATGTACACAGGTCTATTCACAACTGAGCCTTTAAGTATGGCAAAGAACTGGTTCTGGTGTGCTATTCTTGCTATGGATAAAAATCCAAAGGATTTAAACTCTCATCAGTGCACCTCCAAACCCAAATTAAATTACCACTTTTCCTTCTACAGGTATGTGAACTGAAACAAGAAAAGTGAGAAAGAATTGTTCCCCCTCAGACTACAGAGTTATACTAAGATGTAAGATTCAGTTGTCAGACTTGCAGAACAATCCTCGGGTAACATCCTTCTCCCGGTGAAATGTCATATGGTTTTCTTTTTTAAATAATTAAAAATATTTTTTTGGACAGTTTTAGATTAAAAAAAATTAAAATAGCAACACAGAAAATTTTATTTTTGAAATTTGAGACACTGGTTTGACAAACATGAAGCATTTTCCTCTCAAAGGACTAAGATTTCAAGAAGCCACCTGATTACAACAGACCACTCAAGTCGAGTCTATTCTAGGTCCCCGTGAGTGACGGCCCTGTCCTGGACTTGTGGTTCTTTAGCCTAAAAGAAGCTATACATGGAGGCCAGTGGTCAGTCACTACTTATGAAAAGCAAAAATGACAGTTTGCAAAGCTGACATTATGAGTCTCTCTTACTAAGCCCCAACTGTCTTCAGGCCTAAGGTAATGGAATCCAAGACTTCTAAAAGAGTGCCCTGAATCTCGGCCATGACTTCCAGCCAGCCAGGATAAATTTGGTAGTGATCAAGGCTTTAAAGAATGGATTTCTGTGTTCCTATTTCCAATGGTAATATAAACTTACAATTTATACATTTCTTCCCTCCTTCCTGGCAGAAGGAACCTACCTTTTCTTGAATTGACCTGAACTGCACAAACCTGACATAAATTACTACTTAAAATAAACTTTCATTAATGCTGGATCATTGCAGAGACCACAAATTATGCAGTATTTTCCCATTTCCTTTGTTTTTTCCATGGTCAGTGATTCTACGTTTTGGTTTGGTCACAGTTTAACAGGGCATCTAAGTCAGCAGAATGAAGGCCTTAGCATCTACAGCCTGGACAGAGAGGTCTCATCAGTTCACACCCTGACTCGAGGGCTCGCATTGCAGACTCAGAAGGGGACGTCTGCCAGAGAACTTGTGGCTCTCTCCTCCTCGAGGGTCTCTATCGCTTTGCCTGTCCCATTAAGAAGTTAACAAGAAAATGGAAAATTTTCTAGGGCTTTATTAAACGGATTTATCTTTTTTAAAAAAATATATATTTTTGAGCCATAGTATTCCAGAGTTGTTTAGAAAAACAGGAGCCCTGTTCCACCCAATCCCACAACCAATAGCCTCACTGAGTTTCTCTGCATTCACTCTAGTGTTTCTTTAAAAAAAAAAAGCTTAGACTGCTGTTTTTCTGGTTTATCATTTTTAGACATTATCCACACCCACTTCTCCTCACCTCATCCTCCCAGTATAGTTACAGCTGAACTTTTAGTTCTGTCAACATGAAGTGTTCATACTATGATGACTATATAAGTACATTCTCACATAAACTTGACAAATACGCTATGGCAATGCTTCCCTTACTTCCTGTTTACCCCCTACCCCGGGGCTATTAATCAGCTAATATTATTGGCTTTGTTTTCCTATTTGCTTTTTCTCTGTGACCATCCAAAACTGTTTCTTACTGCTAAATGAAATTTGCCATTTATCTATGGCTTTCTTAAGTGTTCAATGCCTTAACCTATCAGTGTTCTATTTTTCCACAAGAAAGCTTGAATTTTGAAGGTCTAAAGAGAAATTACAGAATGATTTGTATAAGTAAGATGAAATTGTACTACAAATGATGTGTTCAGGATGAAACTACTTTTTCCCACTTCTAATATAGCACATTATGAAAAAGGTAAAAAGATATTTAAGGTTCATCAGAAAAACAAATAGGAACAAATATGATTTCCAGAATTAGTGTAAGTAAATTGCTTATAATCAAGCAGTGATATGGTACCCGTGGGTTTAAATGTAAATAATTATCCTTGTAAATATGAGAACAGGAGTAAAAATAAAGTTAATAAACTCATTAAATGAAGAATAGTAACACATTAGGGCATGAATATGGCTATTTCTGTGACTTAAAGAATTTTGATTTTTGTTATCTATTTCCTAAACAACATGCCTCTGGAAACTCTATGAATTTAGAGAAATGATGATTGTTATAGAACAGGGTTCAAGTCTTTTGTTCACAGGGTCACTATGAGTCATGCTGACTTCATGGCCATCAACACAACATTTTTTTTATAGTCAGATTTCATATTATAAATTGTAGTTAGTATTTTCCTATCTAAATTATGCACTGTTATTATTGTTAAGTGTCGCTGAGTCATAGACACCTCATAGCGACCCTATGAACGAAAGACCTGAGCACTGTTCATAGAGTTTCCAGAGGCAAGCCATTTTGGAAGTGGATGCCACTCCTGCTTCCAAGCTTGTTTTAATTGGGAAGCTCCATCAAACACTGTCCACCATGGGTGACCATTATCACATTTGGCACATCAGTGTCACAGTGTTTACTATCAAAACAACCACCAGTTACCTCTGTACAGCAATATACCACCTAGAAGAATGTTTGACAAAAAACAATTTAAACCAGGCCTGAGGGCCTCAGATTTAAATTATGCACTAGTGTATGTATTTATTTATATATATTTCTTCTATTAGTGTTTGCTTTACTTCCTTTTGAACCAGTGACTTTATATGGGAAAATCAGGGCGGCCTGTGACTGAGAGAATTCAACAAGAGAAATGACCACAGCCGGTCACAAAATGGGACTAAATAGAAAATGGAATATAGTGTCTTTCACTGTCTTCCACAATAGTTCATAAAATTCAAACAATCTTAATGTTTTCTCCCTCATATCTTCTAACCACTTCCTTCTCGGTGTCTTTCTAGGGAGCCTTATGAAAGTCAGATTGGCAACATTAAGTAGTCACAGCGCTCCTGGCTCATCTCACGCTGTTATTTGTCCCCAGAGGCCCCAAGTGTCTTAGTGGATGGGACACTCTGGGGTTTGATAACATCAAGCTTTCCCTCTGTCCCACCCTCATGTTTATGCAGAGTCTCAGGTTTGCCAGACTTAAGGATATTTTCTCCCTTGCTTAATATAAAAGATAAAATGTGGCCTCTGTGTTTATCAGATTCTAAAGCCCCATAAAAACTTTAGCTAGGACCCATATTGAAGAGCAGCTGCCAGATTAGAACAGCACAGGGTTTATGCAGATACAGAAATCACTGGTAACATGATTTGGACAGGAAAGAGAAAATGCTTAGCTTTTGGAAGAAAATCATCACGATATAATGAAAATAAAATAATTTATCAAAAGGTGATAAATATTTATTGAATGAATCCATGAATACAAATCAGCAGAAAAAAAAAAGAAAGTTATCACTTTTAGATTTGACCTACTTCTTGAGACTTATTTTGGTATTTTGCTTAATGGCAATGTAGCTATTTTAAATGGCAGACTTATCACATTTAATATACTACTTTCCTGAGGCCTCTGGAAACTGAAGAGATAATTATCTTAACAAGAATTTTATTTCAGCTTTCAAAAAGGTTTGCATAAAACTGGACTTGGGGTGAGAGGGACGGGCAATCTATTTACATATTGATGGAACATTAATTGAACACTTACTATGTGCTAAGAACTGTTAATAAACTGAGGAAGCAGCGGGGAATAACTTGAATGTCAGTTCTCTCCTCCTGGAGATTGAGGCCACTCTTTGGTGCATAATCAAAATCACCCAAAGAGCAAGTAACTGTGTAGTTGTTATAACACTATACTTGTCATTACAGAGAATTCACCTAAAATGGTAGATTCAGAAGATTCCCAAGAGAATGTGACAAAGAGGCTGAAACTTGAAGACCAAGAATGGTGGGCAAGTGGGAAGGGGTTATAATAGGAGAAGGCATGCTAAGCCAATGGACTCATGGTTTTGATAAAATAATGGGCTATTATTTTACCAACATTTACCGCATATAGAGAGTGGAGTATAGCATGTTGTTGTGTTGTAATGTGAACCAACTCGTAGCTGACGCTTTAGTGGGGCTTTTTAAGGCTGTAAACCACACAAGAGGAGATTACCCAGCATTCTCTTGTGGAGCAGCTAGTAGATGAGAACTGCCTGTAAACGGGTTGACAGCACAACTCTTTACCCGCTCACGCTCCCTGACAACAATATCAGCATTCTAATTCTTTGCCCAAGAACATCCCTAAACAGTTCTACATGTGCATTTTCCACTTTTTAACATTTGGATTCTGTGATGATAACACTTACCTTCCTTTACCCTGGCTGGTAATCAGATGACTCCTGATGACCAAACAAACGAATAATGCTTAACCGAGAGTTTTCAGCATTATTTTTAAACTCTCCTGAGAAATATAATGTCTAAAGAGAACATTTTATCTATTTTTAAGTAACTTGTGCATTATTACAAATGCACTTGGAGGCATTCTTTGTATAATTCAGAGTGAAAATGTCCACAAATTCATGACACGCACTTTACTACCATGGACTGGCTTTCTTTGCATGACTTGTTGCTTCTTGATTCCAATTAAAAAACTGATGCAAGGCTTTGTTACTTACAGTTTATGTGTGAAACTCGTGGACTGGACAGGAAGCTACTGCGGTCCTGCCAAGAGAATGAGTGATCTAACTGACGAGCTTGGGAAACTTCGGGAATAATCCCATCATCCTAAGGGGGAGAGTGGGTTGTTTGGTTTAATGGTTATAGAATGTAAGGACCAGGAGTCATTTAAATGCACTAAAATGGAAACTGAATGCTAACAAGCTATGCTGCACACAATTTGATAAGAAAAAAATAATCATTTTAAGAAAAAGGTGTGGGAAAAAATGTATATTAACTTTGTAAGTAAACCAATATAAAAGAAAAATTTTATTATAAACAGACAACCTATGAATGTTGAAGAAAATATGTAAAAAAAAGAAAAAGAAAAGCAAATTGACTAATGGTCATAGCAGCATGATATAGTTCTTTTCGCTCTTTTTCTATGGACAAGTATGAAAACAATTATAAAACTTTGTGTTCTTTATTATCTTTATAGTCACATAAGGACTACTCATATACTCTGCTTTACTCACCAAATACCATATGGATCATTGGTCATGTTGGATATTTTACTGCTATAAATAACACTGAGAGAAATACACCTAACTTTTCCATATTTAGGACTATTCCTGTTGACAAATCTTTTTAAGTGAATATACTGAGTCAGTAAAAATAATTGGATGTTTTTCAAATTCAGTTATCTAGAAATGCTTTTCATAGAGATTACACTAATCTTCTTACTCATTCCACAAACATTGAATATACAAATAATAAATAATCATGGAAAAATGCTCATGGATTTTATGCACTTTCCTTTCCTTTTTTCCAAGTCTAAGCTTTTAATATGGATGGAAGCTCAACATCAAAAGACTAAAGATTCTTACTGCTGGGCCGATTGACAGCATTATAATGGATGGTGAAGAGATGGAGATTGTTAACAACTTGAGTTTGCTTGGCTCCACAATCAACACTCTTGGTACCAGCAGTCAGGAAATCAAAAGATGAACTGCATTGGGAAAGGTGGCTGTCAGGGACCTCTCCAGAGAACTGAAGAGCAACAACATCAGTCTGGAAACTAAGGTGCACCATAGTCTTTCCAATTACTTGCTCTATGTCAGAAGGCTTGACAATGATTAGAGATGATGGAAAGAAGATTGATGCCTTTGAGCTGTGGTTCTGGAAAAGAGTATTGACTTCCAGGAGAACAAATAGGTTAGTTCTGGAGAAGGTGAAACTACACTACTTCTTGGAGGCAAGGATTCTGAGGCTTTGTCTGACATATTTTGGGCATGTTGCAAGAAGGGTCCAGTCCTTGTGAGGGACATCATGCCTGGGAAGGTGGAGGGAGAGCAAAAGATAGGAAGACCCTCGATGAGACAGATTGATTCAGTGACTGGGGTAATGAGGATTAAGTGTGTCAGAGACAATAATGTTGGCATAGGATACAGCCAGTTTCAGGGCTATATTACATAGTGTCGCTATGAGTCACAAGTGACTCAGTGGCACATAACAACAATGAAGATGAGTATGGGAATTAAAATTGTGAATTCTTTTACTAATTACATACAATAAAACTGAGGAAGACCTGAAATGCTTGCTGCAGAAGGTCAAGGACTGCAGCCTTCAATATGAATTGAAGCTCAACATCAAGAAAATAAAGATTCTCACCAGTGGTCCAATTGGCAGACCCATAATATATGGAAATGAGACTGAAGTCATTAACAATTTCAGCTTGCTCAGAAATAAAAAGACAAATGGCACAGGAAAAATCTGCAGTCAGGGACCTCTCAAAGTACTGAGAAGCAACTTTGTCAGTCTAGAGATTAAAGTGCGCCTCATCCAGGCCATGGTCTGTGCAATTACTAGCTATGCATCATAGAGCTGGACAATGACTAAGGATGACAGAAGAAAAATAGATGCCTTTGAGTTGTAGTGCTGGAGAAGAGCCTTGAACATACTGTGTACTGCCAAAAAAACAAATAAATTTGTCTTTGAGGGGGTGAAACCAAGTTTCTCCTTGGATGTCCATGATGGTTATTGTTCTTCTCCAGCTCAAAGGCATCAATTCTTTTTCTGTCATCCTTATTCACTGTCCAGCTTCCAGATGCATAGCAAGTAATAGGAAAGACCATGGCTTGAATCAAACGCATCTTGGGATTTAGATTTTTTTATTTTTTTTACCTACAATCAGAAAGGCATCCCATAATTGAAGGAAATAAATAATATGCTTTACTTGATATTTTAAAGGAGTACTCTGGTTTTTATACAGAGAACAGTTTGTTGAAAAGGAAGTATCAAAGTGAGCATGCCAGCTAAAAGACTGCAATTAAACAGAAATGTGGGATTGAGGGATAGGATTAGATCAAGAATGTCCAAAGAGTACAGATGAAACAGCTTGTTAGGTTAGATTCTTCAAAACATGTCCCACCATACAGCACAACACCATGCAACACGGCTATCTGTTAAGTTCGTTATTCTAGGAAAGTACCATGTTTATATATTATTTGTGTGGCATTTAGATAAACACAAGAGGAATGCAAAAAAATAAAAACAACATGTCGTGCTGAGTTGGAATTGACTCATAGTGGACCCTCCAGCGAGTTTTCAGAGGCAGTAAATGACATGGGAGGAGAATGCCCATCTTTCTCACACAGAGTAGCTATGGAAAATGTATTTCATATATGTATTTCATATATATACATATATATATGTTGTTGTTAAGTTCCATCGAGTCATAGATGACTCATAGAGACTCTATGAATGGAAAAAAAGACCTGAACACTTGTATAATTTTGGTTGTTTCTCCATGTTCATAGAGTTTCCAGAGGCAAGTCCTTTTGCAAGTGGATGGTACCCCTGCTTCCAAGCTTGTTTTAATTGGGAATCTCCACCAAACACTGTCCACCATGGGTAACCATTATCACATTTGGCACATCAGTGTCACAGTGTTTAGCATCACAGCAACCATGAGTTACCTCTGTACAGCAATGCACAGACCAGGGCTATACCACTGAGAAGAACGTTTGACAAAAAACAATTTAAACAAGGCCTGAGGGCCACAGATGAAAACCACCCACCTTGGACTTGGTAGCATAACTTTCTGTCCACTAGGCCAAGAGAGGTCTCTCTACGTTATCATTGTTATTGTTGTTAAGTGTTGTCAAGTCATAGACGACTCATAGTGACCGTATGAACGAAAGACCTTAACACTTGTGTAACTTTGGTCATTTCTCCATGTTCATAGTTTCTGGAGGCAAGGCTTCTTCTGAATCCAGCTTGAATATCTGACAGTTTCCTGCTGCTATACTTTTCTAGCCATTTTTTCCACAATCTTTAGCAAGAATTTATTTGCAAGTGAAAATATGGACAGACTAATTATGATCTAAGTCAAGCTGCCCACCAAGCATGCACAGATGTGTGGATGGGCAAAGAAAGGCTGTTGGCTTGAGGAGCAAGAAGCTGTCAGGACCTCTGGCCTGTTGACTTAACTGGGCCCAATCTGGGTGCTAGGAGGAGTGAGGAAACCAACAGGTCTGGAGCACATGGAGAGGTGTGGACTCTTGAACTTGCAGCTCGATGACCATTTAAACCTAGTCACTGATGGCTGGAGATGAGTTGACCAGAACCCAATCAGATGAAGAGAAGATGATCCATGCTGTGAAATAGGGCTGATGGTTGCAACCTGACAGCTTGTCTGGACTGGACTTTGCTTTTAGGTGCAGTTTCTCAAAGCTACTACAGAGTACTCTTCAGCAAAAGGGGCATGCTTGTTCAGAGTACTATTTTGATACAGATGGGCAGGTGAGCATTTGGCTATCTAAAAGGGGGATACAGGGCACGAAGCATGATGTAGTTGGTCTACATGCTTCATGGAAAGACTTGTTTATGGGATGATTGTCAGGGAGGAGAAAAGTCCAATAATAAAAAGAAATGAAATATAATGTAAATGAAGACTGTCTGGAACATAATATATGTGCATGAAATCCAATATATATGGTGGCCTAGTGGCAAGAAGCTGTGCTGTAATCTTGAAAGCACGTAGTTCAGGTGCTCCACAGGAGAAGGATGGGCATTCTCCTCCCCTGCAATTAGCTGTCTCTGAAAACCCTGAGGGGCAACTATGGGTGGGTTCCAACTCTAAGGTACACAACAACAACAATAACAACAACAACAAATATATTACTAAAAGAAAAAAAAAAGAACCTGAACAGTCAATATAACAAAGACTGGGAGAGCTGGGGACTGGGGAATAAAAGCTGCAAGTCCTCGCTTCCAGGATAAAGAAAAGGAAAAATGATGGTTGTCCCAAAAAGAGCTGTGACCAAGAGCAGCCCATTCGCTGCACAAACTGCACCTGTTGTGTGCCCAAAGGCACCCGATTAAGACGTTTATAATGATGAATATAGTAAAGCATCTGCCATCACGGACATTTCCAAGGTGATGTGTATGCGTGTCCTAAGCTGTCTGTGAAACTGAACTATTACCATGTGAGGCCCAGAAGACAGAACGCCGCACCCAGATTTAAACCTGAAGGTGCTGCCCACTGACCTCAACCAAATCCCGACTGAGCATTTGATTCCTTGAAAGCTGAAGATAAAACTCATTTGAAAGAAAAGAAAATGGAAAGTATATTTAAAAAAAAAAATCAAAGGCCAAACTTATCAAGTCAATTCCAAGTTCCAGTGACCCTATAATAGAAGAGTTTTCAACACTGACTTTATGGAAGCAGACTGTCAGATTATTTTTCCAGTAAGTGGCTGGTGGGTTCCAAGCCACCAACTTCTAGGTTAACACCGGGCCTCTTAGAAAATACAGCTCCATGTATCTCCATTTGCAAATGAAGCATGGAAGAGAAAAGCATGAAGCATGGAAGAGAAAAGCATAAGGAAAGGTTTCAACCGAAGTGATGCCTTGATGATTGTGAGAAAAGAAGAAATGAGGGAAAGCACACACACTCAGGTTTTGTTAAATAAGAGATAGAATATTGGACAATGTGAGTAATGACAAATGGGCCCCATCAGGGGAAGGATGTGGGAGATTCAATCTGACCTATTCTTCCAAAAGGCATTGTTTTCTATTTCTAAAACAAAGTTCA